ATATACATTAAATTCCATTATTCAGTCATTTTTCCAAACCAAGCGCTAATAACAAAAAGTAATTATGCGAAGGTAGGTTTATAACACGCTTTTAGCATTTATATTAGTATATTACGACCGTGTGTATGGAATTGGAAATGACTGTCATTGAGTTATACAGAATTTCTATAACTCCAACATGAAAATTCAACTTCCTTTGTTTTACGATAAAATTGTATCACAACTGCAATACATGATTCCTCTGTAGAAGATTTACCATACTCAACAATTGATCAAATTGATTTTTCAGAATATTTTTCGGTCAAAATATGAAGACATTTGGCATCCTTTTTGAAATGAATAATCAGTTGTACACCCATTCGAATCTTATATAAATCAGCGAAATATTTTTTCTTCGTGGTAAAAAAAGTTGCCTTATAAAAAAGACTGATATACATAGCATACCGTTAGAATACCCCTGCCGCGTATGGTGTTACCACTGGAGGTAGAACTCCTACTAAATGACGCCTTATTTCAAGTTGTATGTATCCCTGTATCCGTGCCGAAAGAATGTATGACTCTGAGCCCACTGAGCCGTGTCACGCAGATGTGGAGTTCAGCCGCGACGGTCCTCATTTCCCTTGTTACTCTCGGGACTCTTATGGACCATGAATTAACCAAAGAATATGACCCTGAAAAGACTGAATGACCTGCTGCTCAGTTCCCGAACTCATGGCCTGTTAATAAAGCTAGGAGGCTAGGTGGTGGAACCAGGAGCTTCTTATCGCTTTCCCAAGAGCAGGATATCTTGTGAATCTGCTCTGCACCAAAATCTTGAGCAGCAGAAGCAGAATCTGCAGCAGGAGAGGCAACAAGCTCCCAGAGTGCAGATCAGCAAATGCCTATGCTCAAACGATGACTCATCCAAACCAGAGGTGAAAAAGGCATACATGACTGAATCTAACCTATCGTCAGATATAGCTAAAACAGGTGCCTTCATATGGAAAGATTGCTGCAGTCATCAAGACGAAAATCTTGCACTTTCAACATCCGACAACCTCAATATTGACCAAATAAACAAGAATTTCTTCAGTATGCCATTATGGATGCCATAGAGGATATTCCAGAAGATAGTCCACAGGAATGATTTCAGAGCTGCACCTGAGAGAATTAGAAGAGCATATCCTGGCTGATGAATGCAGTAAGCACCCTGCAGCAATGAGATGGCATCTCCCTGAAATGCGAGACCTATTCCCCAACTAACACATCTGTATTGCTTTCCTATCTGATGAAAGTAGTCGCAGACTAACTGCCAATCAGGTTTCCACTGAATGAGAAAAATGAACCATGGTTTGTTAACCTCAAAGTGAATTATTGTTCACGAAGAAATTCCTATCCTAATGGCAGAGCATATATTTTGTGCCTGCCGCGACGCGGGCATAATCAGGTTTTCAGCATTTGGAGAATCCTACTTTTGCCATCTAACCAGAAAGATCAATCACCAAATGAAGTATTCGGCTTTGTTATGAAGCTGGATTCATTTGGTAGACTCACTTTGGACGTTCCTGCATCTACATAACTTAAAAATCAAGTGAATGAAGTAGAATCAAATTTATTTAATGAAATCCCTTCAACCTTTATATTCAACAGACCAAATCCAATAAAACCGCTAGTTGGTTAACAATAGTGAATATCCTTTAAACGAATTGAGGTTATTCACGCATATTGTCTGAAGAAAATATAACCTAAAAAATACCTTCTGTCATCTTCAAGCTTTTTCTTGTTTGAGTCAAAAAAATATTAAATCAAGTTTAAAATTTGAAAAAATGTCTGCAGGGGCGCAGTAATTTTGATAACAAGTTGAACTAATGTTTGTCATATATTTTTTTGGGTATTTTCCAATAATACACATTTTTTAGTTTCTTGGAGTTGTACGCCTAACCTAAAACAGTTCGGAAACTGATTTTTTCTATTTCAGCAGTTTTTCTGCACTAGTTTGTGACTGCCGTATTTCACTCTCACCTCAAATAAAATAGTATAAATTCTCTTCGTCAGAGTCTAGAGTAATATGTTATAAAAAACTGAATTAAAAAACAAGTGGGTGACAATATGGGTAATAACTAAAAATAATATGTTGAAACACCAAAATAAAAAAGGTGATTACAATAATACAATGAATATAAGTCTAGAAAAAAAACTAAAACTCCTCAAAGCTGCCCCTTTTTTTGTTGAGAAATTACACGTTATTTTCCTGAAAATATTGAAATTCCACAAATTCAATTTATGAATGGATTTCACTTCACATTTGTTCCCAACATTGAAGAAATGCCACTAACGGAGAAAACATATTTAAAAAAACATCTGTATACTAATTTTTTTTTAATTAAAGACATTATTTTCAATTTATAATAATTAGTGAATGGTGACATTTCGAAAACGCCATCTAGGAGATCGATAGAAGCTTCAACATCGATAGACTAACAGAATTTGTTCTGTGTTTCACTGCAGCACTGTAAGACAACTAGATGAAACCAGAGCCCAGAAACGAAGCATTTATGATCCAACACCTGACTGTGCCATAGGTACCATCAGTAGTGCTATGGCACATATACAATGTTGGATTCAACTGTCCTCAAAGACGCCATCTATGTGATTGACAGAAGACTCAATCCACGAATATAATTTTTGAGACACTTCACAATTGGGCAATAAAATGAAAGAAACTCATATCGTCTAATAAAGTATCGTTTTACATTACAACAATTAATTTTCCATATGTCATTTATTACCAACATAAAATGTTAACAAAGACCTTTGGTTATGTATTGATTGAACGTTGATATTGGTTTGTTTTAATCGCGTTCTCTTTGAATTTCAGATATTCAGATGCATACTAAAGAGAACTTATCGTTAATTTTGCTACTTTTCATTATACCTAGTGAATTTTGGGATGTTGGTAACACTGAAATTCACCAAAAATTTCGCTGAATTGCGGATGTAATACAATAAATTCAGATTGTGTTCTATTTCAATGCAATAGCACGAGGTTCCTCAAGGCGGTCATTTGCAAAGACAAGCTTCGACATCAACCGTCGACGAGATTCGTCCTCTGCTTTTCACTGCAGCTTTCAATGCAACTAATTGAAAACCAGAGCCCAAACACATTGCATTTATGCCATAGGTCCCATAAGTGGAGCTAGGTTGAACCACAAATGTGTTACTAGGCGAAGTTATTGTGGTTGAAACCTTTTAGTCAGATGGCAAGAGTAAAACTCTGCCAAACCCTGAAAACCTGATCCAGTCCACGAGAGAGCAGACTGCTGTTTCACAATATTCCAAACAAGGTAGCAGCACATTGTTCTCGGACAGTCCAAGTATCTTCATCTGATGATTCAGGCGACAGTAACCTGTAAAACAAGGAGCACACTGCGACAGGACGGAAACATGACGAGACGTGGCCTGTCCTTTGCCTGCCTTTGCCCACTTCGCACACTATGGCAGGGCGGAATGCTGCGTCCTGTTCCCCTACCTTCCTGCTCGGTTCCTCTCCTTATTTCCCTTTCGGTATTTAATAGCTCGATACTACTATTGTTTACGATAACTTCTCAGGAGTGGGAGGACGGCCTGAGACAGGCACACGAAGTTTTCGCTATTCCAGCGAAGACGGCATTGCATCTACCTGGCCCTTTCTGACATATGCCTATCCGTTGTCTGCCTTAATGCGCACCACCCCCCATAAGAAACTATAGAAAGAGAAATGAAACTTCACGTTATGTTCCCGTTCTGTGCTGTTCTGTCGCGCCTTACATAAGTAGGCCTGTTAGACTACATTGGTCATCCTATTATAATTACTTAAGCGAGGTAGACATATTCGAGAGTTGTTGAGAATTTTGACCAAAAACTATATAGAAATGGTCAACACTCATACAACAATTAGTGACCTAAACCAAACCTGACATTAACGTTCCACAAAATGACCCTCTTTCTTCAACTGATAGCATCAATCATATTGTGTAAACTGAAAAAACATACACAGTACAAACTTAATTGGATTCTTAACTATGATTGATTTGCCGAAAGGACACTTCAGAGTTGACGAAGTGAACAACTTTTTTGATTCGGACATATCAACATATTAGGCGTAACAAGCATTTTGAAAAATGAATATGTATCGACAGATGAATCAGTAGAACCTTGAACCGAAGTGAAAAAAGAAAGGAAAGAAAACCATAAGCAAACAGTAATGTCATTATGCGAGTGACTACATGTCCACCGAATCGTTATAGTGGAAATTTCTTTCAATAAACCATTTACTGAGTCGAGTATGAATGAAGATTCGGAAGATTTTATTAGCGAAGATCCATTTTTATGGCTGTATATCGGCCACTGTAAGTCTACCGACAAAAAAGTTAGGCCATATCTTGTTGAGAAATCTCCTCGATACAAGTTTCAAGTTGATGAGTTCGATATTCAGATACTCAGCTAAGGAAGTTTTGAAGTGATGCATAGTACACTAGTAGTATCAACATTTTTATATATTTCAGGAGATCATTTATATAAATGAAAAACAGTAGTGGTTCTAAGATTGACCCTTGCGGCACCCCAAACAGTATATCTTGAGTTTTCAATACTGTATAATTTAAAATCACTATCATCTTCTCCTATCGAACATGAATTACTCAATTCATTCATATCTAAATATAATTTACTAATCATCATATCATCATCCACAGAATCAAATGCTTTTTTTACCAAGTCAAATAAAATTAATATCTAGGTTTTATAAAATCATGGTGATCTATTAGGATGTTATTTTTTTCTAGAAACAAGATAATTACATTTGCTACAATTTTTTCCATATGTTTAGATGGAACACTCAGTAATGGTATTTGCCAATAAGCATTTTCATCTACAATACAGACGATACTAAAGACAATACATATTCAAAAATAATATTTCGATAAGGACATGTGCTTTCAACAGATACAGAATGTTACTGTTAAAGAATACTACTCTATTACCTGATTTGTTTACCACTTCTACACCACATGCTGATGGATGATGAATTGTTTTGCCAACCTCGGATCCCAACAATTTAACATACTCAACTAAAACAAAGAACCAACTGAGGTTAAAATAATAAAAAACACTGAGATACAGACTAGTACTTTTGTGATTTTCTCATCACAAACGACCAAATTAATGTCAATACTTTCGGACTTTGAAATAGATAAAATACTTCCAAAGGACTATATTAACTATTATGCAAATTGAGAAATCGTTTTAAATCAGTACTTTAATAAACTGAAGAGTAATTCTTATGAAAAATGATTTGTTTTCTGCTTTGTTACGGCTTTGTGACAACCCTCTCAGATATTTATCTGCATGTAACTCATGGCAAAAAAATCTTTGTTACCCAAATAGCTGTCTAAGTGCTCACATTAAATACTGTATGCCAATTTTCAAAAAACTTGGAAATTTAATTCTTTACTCTTTGTGAAGATAAGACATATTAAAGTAAATGAAACTAGAAAACCCATTCACAAAGACAAATAAAATAATTAAAACTACTTAATTTACTCAAATACAATAACAGTAATGTACATCCAGCAATTTGTATATGTATAACACATATACATAAACAAATTAACATCCATATAAATATACATACACACAGTGCATACATACACATAAACAGAGAATATACGGGGTGTAACTTAAATGATGTCAATAATTTCGGGAGGTGATTACTTGTCATATTTTATGGAAAACATTCATATGAACATGTGTCCCAACTTTTTTCGTTTTCGACTGACAAGGTTTCAAAGTTTTACTAGAAATATTGCTTCTTATTAATAACTCAAAAAAGGCTTTAAGCCAATTTTAATGAAGCTAGGTATGTTTGTTACCAATAACAAGGGGCTCCATTTCATGAAATTAAATTACCTATAATTATTCCAGTGGCGTCACTGAGGACTACCTAAGGGATACAAATTATTTACTTTTGATTTAATTACCTGTCAAACTGAGCAAGGTTGAAATATCTTATGAAATTATTACCGAAGTGGCAATAATTTGTTAAGTGAAAAATTATTTAACCACGTCACTTCTTTTACGAAATTCTTGATTATAACAAGGCGTTTATAGGTTCTTCTTCTGTTTTCTTCGTAGAATCTAAAAATAACGATAAGAGAATAATGATTGATAACCACAGTGGGTACAAGTCACTAATATTGTAGAATTTTTCAACAGTAGGCGACAAGTAGTATCATCAAATTGTTTTAGCGTGCAAACAAGGTTGTATTAGTACATAATCAAGTATATATGAACAACTCTGAATTAGCTGAAATGCATTTCTTTTATTGACTAGCAAATGGAATGCTACAGAAGACTGTCGAGTCTATCAAGAAGAATATTTTCACAGAGATATTCCACCAAAAAGAAGTTTCACCAGATTGCACGCTAGACTGTGCGAAACGGGATCTTCAACAAAACAACAATAATGACACCGCAGTTAAAGGAAGCAATTCTTCAAGAAGTTGACGGCAATTCTTCAACAAGTACCCGAAAATCAACTGCACAGTTCAATGTAAGTCATCGAAGTGTTTGGAAGGTTTTGCATACAAATTTATTGTATCCATACCACAAGCAGCAGGTGCAGACACTGTTACTGCGAGATTTTCCTGGCCATTTGTTTTTTTTTCAGTGGTTTTTTCAAAGAATTGTACAAAAAAATCCCAACTTGACTTGTGAAGTTTTATTCACTGGTGAGGCAAGTTTTTCAAAGGATATCATCATTAACTTTCATAACAATTATTCTTGGGCCTATGAGAATCTCATAGGGTCGCATTTTCTTGCTCCTCGTTCCAATGGTGTGACAAATAGACAAATTCTAGAAGACACATTGCCACAATTGTTAGAAACGAAATATGTGGCTTATGCACGACCAGGCATCTGCACTTTTCAGATCATGAATATCTTACTAGCCAGTGGATAGGTTGTGAGGGACCTCAATCATGGGACCTAAATCTGCAGACTTGAACCCTCTCGATTATTTCTTTTGGAGATATCTTAATCACTTATGTATGGAACCCCAGTTGTTAATGAAAATGACTTGAGAAATATAATTATGCATAATTTTAATGTCATATGCAACAACCCCAGAAATTTTTGAAAGTGTGCAACACTCAATGAGTAGAAGCCTTTATGCTTGTATTGCAAGTCATAGTTCTCATTTTGGGCATCTGATTCAATTATTTTTTATTATTACCTACACTTTTCTCCAAATAAAATACAAATTAACCAGCAGTTTGAATACGTCTTCCGTCTATTATCCAAACAGACAAATATCAAAACAAATTTTGAGCTTAAATGATGAGTAATTCCCAATTTTACGCCCTAACTCTGACTCAATAACGTTTAGCTATTTCAAATAATATCAGACAGTGCCATACCATGATTTTTACCATAAATATCAATCGAGTAACCCTCTGCGACGCAACTAGGATTAAAATTCCAATCATGTTACTCAGAAAGGAAGCAAGTAAGGACACACCTTCATATGAAATTTTTCTTAAAATATGACACGTAATCATCACCTGATATTTTCAAGATGTAAATTTATTGCATTATTCAACTTAAGCATTTAGCTAAATTTCTCAACATTTTTGAAAGACAGGAAATAACTGCCAAACCTAACCTAACCCTTCAAATATTGTTTCAAGCAATTTTACTATGAGAATTGGAGTGCATAATGACATTAAAATTTCTTCTGAAAACAAACAACTCTGCTTACTATTCACATCTATTTAAACTACTTGATCAGTTACACAGATATGAAATCTGAATTATCTTCTTACAAGGCCAAAAAACATCTGGAATCTAATTATATACTATAATCTTAATGGCACTAGATTACCACGTACAATAATGAAATAGTATCAATTGGAATTGATAGACTATCATGCACTTTAGTTATTATCCTAGGTGGTACAGCTATTTAACGCAGGTGGTACAACTATTTAACGCAGGTGATAAATTAAGCCTGATGAATAGAGGGATATTCAGAATTACTGTTAGTTATGCTTATTTCAACATTAAGGAATACTATGCAAATACTGAGTCTGGGTGTCGCAATGGTCTATGAGAGCATGAACCACAAAGCTTAAAATGCACATAATGTTAATACAGCCCTTTACTTTCGAATAACTCCAAAGGAATATTATATACCTGGAACAAATCCTAGACCTCTTGTTCTACGATTGTAAGCAAACAACCAGCCTGGTCTATAAGACTGGTTGGTGTCAAAAGGACTTTGAATAGTTATCTCGAACACATCTCCTTTTTGAAACTCCTGCTCATCATCAGATGATGGGGTGAAGGATTTGATTGCTTGGTACAACTCATAGTCCCCCATTGCAAACCACCACCTATTTGCCAGACGTTATTGCATAGTTTTCTTGACATCACTCACTGCTCCAGAACAGGAAAAGCATTGAGATTCTTCATCATTATTTACAACACAGATATAGTCCCAATTATCAAACGAGTTATATCCAACGTCCAAAAATCACAATTCATCATTCCTCAGTTGATGTAAAATCGAGGGGCTCACTTCTTTCTCATTTTTATCACAAATAATGGGGAAAACCAAAAAAAAATCCAACTACTTTCAATGCAGGGTGCCTTTTTGTTGTGAAAATGACTAATATCCCTTTTTTTCGTCCAACTGTGTTTTGTTTATCGATGCTTATTTGATCATTGGCCCAAATCCATTTTCGAAAGACAATTGTTAACCCACATCCAGTAATATACACAAACAAAACACTAGAAAAAAATTGAAGATGGCGTCAAATCTTTAACATAAATTGAATACGTCAAATCACTGCCAACCTGACGATAAGAAAAATAAACTTGACACAAAAATGTAAACGAAAATTAGTTAATACACGAATACCAAAACCATACAATTTAAATGAATGAGTTGAAATAATAACAGTACAATTATATTTGGAACTGCGAGCATTCATATGATGTGTTGTAAACTTAATGTGTACAAACGTACGTCGACCAGAGTATTACAGTTCTATAAGGTGTTTTTCTTGAACTTACAGCGTGTGTTCGGAAAATAAATGTAGATCAGTTACCGAATGGACAGATGCACGATTGGGGATTAAGTACATCATATACCCCTTTATGTTCATTTTCATGTTCAAAAAGTAATTATAGATGAGAACTGGTTATCTATCACACATATCAATTCAAAAAGTAAACGTTTCACTATTTAACAGCCAATGTAAAAAAATTGTCATTTATAGTAATTGTTTTAAGTGGAATTAAAACCTTTGGCGTAAATGAATCTAATGAAAAACTTCGCTAGGACCAAAACTGAAGCACTCTCGACGAGCGTTTCGATAACCAGGTCACCATCATCAGGAGATGACTTCAACTGTGTTACTTATTTGAACGAACTTTTTTGCGATTCGACATTTTGTGACAGTACACAAAGACAGAAATGAAATTGTTTTGAAATCTTCCCACAGTACCTTTTAATAGGCAGTGAAATACTTATTGCATCTGCAGTAAAACGCAAATGCACATGTTCAAGAAGAGATTTTGTTGAATTTTCACTGCTCATGAAATTAACCCTTTTCTGCAATATATTTCAACTTTCAAGCGGCAAAATGTGATTTGTCATTTTATTGTTGTTATTGAATATTGAAAGATTCACTAAACGTTTGTTAGTAACTTGAACAGAGAGTGTCTGAAAAAAATTAATTTTTTGAAATTATGTGTCCTACAATTTTAATAAACTATCAAATAAAAATGAGTTCCAGTTTTGAAAAGTGAGGAAATTCTCTGCTACCGGAAGCTGGAAGCACTAAAAATATTGTAATGGGCCAAAACATTCATGCCCGTTTTTAAAGATTAGATGTTTCTTCTCCGATATTGAAGCAAACTAACAACTGACTTGATAAGTAAAGTTTGAAACCTCTGGCGTGAAATTAAATTATTGATAACACTTTTTCCACTCCAGAACAAAAATGCCGTCTCTCGAGCGTTTCGTTAACCAAGTTAGCATCACCTCCTGATGATGCTAACTTGGATAGCGAAGCGCGTGTCGAGAGACAGTATTTCTATTCTGTTGTGGAAAAAGTGTTTTAAATGCTGACTTCAACAATTCAGTAGTCAAATCCTCAAAAAAATCAATAAAATTGTTCCTTTTCAACTCATTATAGTTCTAAGTACTTCGAGTTGGATGATCTTGACTAAGTGGTGCTGAATCGAATTGGACTTATATTTTATATAACTAATCCAGCTACATAACAATTCTTGAGTTATGAGATTCCCATCTTGTTGCTGCTAAATTGAATTGTGATTTATTTCATTGTTATTATTTACAATATCTGTGTTGAACATTTTCCATATCGTGTTTATTTTATTGCAATGTTTATTGTTTTGTTTATTGTTACGTCATGATTCAGCTAGTGTTATGAAACTTGAATGTGGTTTATAAATAAATTCGTACCCTAGTCGTTTGCTGAGGAAATTAAATGAAGGAATGTTAGGAAATTACAGCAGACTGACCAGGCAATAATTTAACGATTGTTTAAGAATTACGCAAGTTTTTTAATTTCTTCTTAACCACTTCTCCTTTCTGTGGCCTTTAGTTGTTCATTATTATGCCCAAATATAACCAAATCTCCACCGTCTCAAAAACAAAGATATCGAATATGACTTTCCGGTTAAAAAAAATAAATACGATTCACTTAGAGAGATATAATAATATATCTTTCAGTGCAAAATTTTTTGAAAATGGAGCAAACGCAATTCTACTCGTAAAGTTCGAACATTCGAACTTCATAGCAGTTTCTGTTCGAGCAGTAAAATCTGTAAAATTTCTAAAAAAATACTGCTCTAACCAGAAAATATGAGTCGAGGGCTAAAATGCACGGGTGACTTTTGTTCAGCGACAAAAAAGTTTTTGTCAACTGTCAGGTCACCTCACAACATTGAAGTACGCTCACGAAAAGTGACATCAGTCACTAACTTTTATTTGAAATTCAGGCGTCATTTGTCAACATGGATTTGGAGGAAACGATTATTTGATACGAACTCATCATAGATAAAAGGAAATATGACAGAAATACTGGATGCACCTTCTTTGCTGCGACAAGTTAATTGATGGAAAATTTCGTGAACCTCGACAACACCCAAAGAAAATTTCAACCTGCATGAATGTACAAAAAAACTAACATAATATTGTCTGGATAGAGATGAGATACGTCAATAGTTATATAGCCGCGCGGTGACAGTTTCATCACGGACTTCTTTGCCGGTCGGCGAACAAAAAAGTCAGTAGGTTGTCACGCTGTAACGTGAGCGCATACATACAATGTCGCGGCAGTCGCTGTGACAAAAGTCACCCATACGGTCTAGACCTAAGTTTATTTATAGTCAAACCAATTGTTACCAAATGGATTCAAAATGAATCTAAGTGAATTCAATGCTGTGACTTCGCCTGAACTTACTAAATCTTTGTTATGCGTTCCAAAACTAATCATTTCCGTGAACTAAACAAAACATTTACCAAACCACAGACGCGTCTCAAAACAGTTGTAAACTAGCGTGTTATTCCGAGTTTAATATCGAAAATTCCAAGTTGAAGGTCGAAAAACTATAAGTCCGTATTTGCAGTCAAAAACGGAAATAAAAAAAAATAGTATGGACCCTCTACGCTTTGATACATCTATCACAGTTATTGCATATTCAAGAAACACTTTCTGTGACATTTTCAGTAAATAGTAACATCTGTTTCGGTATACAATGGTTCCTTCAGGCGTTTTGTGAAAATCTCACAATAAAGTGTTTCTTGAAAACGTAATGAATTTTCATCAAGTGTCGGCACAGTATCACAGTCATTGTCTCTACAGAAAATGAGGTGTAAATGGATAAATGTACAAAAACACAGCCGTCGAGAGTTTTTCACTCGGGAGTCAAGTCACAGGCCAAGTTGCAACCGATGCGAGGTGCTTCAAATCACCGTGGTGCCTATTTTTGAATCACTCGCAGTTTTGCGTACCTATACCTAGTTCTGCGAATCGTTTGTGCAAACGATTGAGGTATGATCATTCGCAGGTTAATTCATACATAATTATCACAGAGATCCAAATGTCAGTCTGAACCAACTCGTTTTGCGAGTAACAATCAAATTGAAAATTTGTGAGTGTAATCCAAGTGTGTAATCCAAGTAATACAAGAATACCTGTCAAGCCACCGTACATCCCAGTGCCACCAGTGGTAAATAATCGACGTTTCATGTAACGTTGGGAGGAAATTTTGTTTCTTTTAGTTATTGTTTTGATGTTTGAACATATGTTCATCAGTGGCAACTTTAAAATTCGAATTTCCTCTTCAACGAACAGTAACTATATTTTTAACAATCTAAGACTCTTTTGCCAAAATCGAATGCAATGATCATTCTTCTATGTCTTCATTCGCGATGAAAAAAATATACAAATTAGATTTTTAATTCAATTCAGAAAGTAACTGAAAACTTGGGAAGTGTTAAGTGACAGTATCTGTATTTCATTTCAAATCGTTTCATTGAAGAACATTCAATCGATTCTTCACTGTATCACAATAAAACGCAGACTATTGTATAGTCTTCTTTTTCTCCTTTTTTATGATCTTTGCTGGCCTTACAGCGCAGTTAATCATATTGTATACTCGTCAAATGCCAACTTTCATCGTATTATTATAAATATTAATAGTGAATAATCAAATGTTGACATATACATTAGATATTCTGAAATGTTATAACTCGGTTCTAGTATAGAAATTGACAACTTCTCTGACGAAATTACGGAACTATCGATTTTCTATCAGTAACATCATTCTATTAATCCAAAGATTCATCAGAGAATACAATTACTTCTCAAAATCAAAAATTTGATAATTATTCCATTCATTTAAAAATTATCTCACAATGAACACTAAAAAATTGATTAGTCTGAAAAGATATATTCCAAAAATAATCACTTCCTAACCGCTACTAACCAGAATTTTAACCAGTTACCTGAAAAATATATTATTATTGGTTATGGGATGGAATTGGCCGATACATGATGAAAACCATTAGGCATTTAAATAACACTTTATTGTGAGATCTTCAGAGAACAGTTCACGAAACTGCAAAATGTGTGTGTGACTAAAGAATAGCTTCTTCATGCGTGTTGATATTAGTATGAACACTATTTAGTGAAAATCTAACAATGAAGTGTTACTTCAATACGTTATGTGGTTATGTATTGGAAACATTAAATCACATTTCTAGTTACTTTTGAATCATATCTTAAATAAATCCCTATTATTGAACTTGACAATCGACTGTGTTTCGAAAGTGTCATTATTTCCAGTGTGTTAATTAATAATTCATTTCCAGGTAACCGATGCCAAAGCTTTCGACTTGCACTGTGCCTGTATTTGTAGTAAATTATTACTACAAATACAGGCACGCGATTGAAATGAAAAATACGGCCATTTCAAAAAGGTACTGTTTGTGGTGGTACTACTGTGGTGGTACTGCGAAGTCATAATGACGTAATATCGGCAATCTAACTAGAAACACAAAACACAACCATTGTATTTTCATTTTAAATCAACCATGAATTTTTGCCTTGGCAACACTGTATTAACCACTGTAATTTGTGAATTTTTAGGTTATATTTACTTTTTTTACTCAGAAAATTTAATGGCAAATGGCTTGTTTTTGGTCCAATCAAAACAAAACAATAATCGAAATACCTTCCACTGAAGAAAGTAATAATATAACTTACTATAAAATCAAAGTTTTAGTAGGAGATTTCCATTGGACAATAACTCATCGATACAGTGAATTTTATGATCTTCATAACCAGCTAGTCATAGATCATGGAGTATCAAAAGAAATATTACCTTCGAAAAAAGTTATTCGAAATAAGTGCCCAATTTTCATTGAGAACCGGAGAAGAGGCCTTGAAGAATATTTACAAAAAATCCTCTTATTCTTGAAAAGAACCATGCCTAAAATCCTCGTAGATTTTTTACACTTCAATGTGTATGATATTTTCTTCTTGTTGCAAGATCTTTCATCAAAACTATTCTTAGAAGCAGATTTTATATTAACATCTCGGAAACCTCACTACTTCAGTACCCTAGAGGTAAATTTTTTATTTTTAGTATGATATAAACTGAAATCATATCTTTTAGCTCTATGCAATTAGTGAATTTTTGAAGAAACCACTTTTAGACAATACGGAGAGTAGGTTTGATATAAGTCCTGTACTCGATTTGTGCTCTCAGCTGAATTTTATCAAGATCATTGGGGGAACCAAACCTTATTTACAGAGCAATATAATTTTCAACAAACTACATTTTGAGCTGTCTCCATTTAAGGTCAGTCACCGTCAATTTTGCTCATCTACCCCTGAAATGTAGAATTGGAATCTATGGTTTAGAATGATTTCAACAAACTCTGGTCTCACACACCAGAACTCCCGACACTTTTCTCGACGTGCATTTTACTAATTAGGTTGGCATCATCCAATGGACTGTACATGCAACAAGAAGATCTGGTGTGTGGAGGCAGTGTATGTGTTGGATTCATCTACTCCTATGTCATTTCTAAAAAAAGTATAGTGTTTTTGTTGTGAAATAAATTCAGAGCACTCATGAGATTTAATTAAGTTAACATTATTTCATGAAATAAACTTCACTCAAGCTCCATAGAAGAAGTCACGGACTGCATTGGACAACAGTTTAAATGTCACAACATTAAAACCATTTACAAGCCACCTAATCAACTTCGCAACACTATCAAATTGGTCAAGAACAAAAGAGAGCCTCTGACATTTGCCCATCGGTGTTTACAGGATTTCCTGGTCGTGTGGCTCAGTTTACATTGAAACTGCCAAAGACAGCATCAACACCAGCATACAAGAACACACATAGCTGTCACTACCTTTAGAAATCCACAATTGCAGAACATGTCCCAGTAGAAACACACCATGTAAAGAATACAAAGAAACTATTGTCCTGACTAATTCAACACATTACCACACACATGACTTATAGGGAGGCCATTGAGATCTATATAATTATCTGAACAATATTAACAAAATATAAGAAGATATTTGGGTAAACAGAACGTGGTATTCCATAATCAAGAAGGTGAGAATTGAACAAGAATACAATTCCAATTGACATCGCAAATAGTATACCTGTCAACAACATGGATCAATCAGAACAACTTTGTAACAGTGGGGACCAATCAGAACGATCCAGTCAAAGTGCAAATTAATCAGAAATGAGCATTGGCATGGACACTCCACCACCATCCCTACTATCTGCCCGACCACCATCCTCAGCATACCCCCACCACCCTCTGAAATTATAAATACAAGTGAAGACGTAACTCACCAGTCAGTCATTACTGAAGCTTCGAGATGTAACCTTCATCCTTGCAGTCAACACACAAATCACTGATGATGCCTGTCGCGGTAGAAGATGAAATGTTTGGTACTTTCGTTTCCATTTGACCATGGCCTATCAGCCTGGATATTGTACTCTTTAATCACGACTCGGCTGTGAGAGCCTATGTTTCTTATATAGCTGATATAACAGTTAAATCAAATTGATATTAACAATTCAATTTGTTAGTATGCAAACAAATATTAGGAAAATGAAAAAAATAGGTATTTCTCAATCGTGCTAAATTAAAAATTATTGGCTTCAAAGTCACACCGAGAATGTAGGGTGAAACTATTTGAGTAAGTTACTTGATTTTCTACCCTGTCGACAACACTCAAGTACTTTGTCCATTTCCCAGTAATTTATGAATTTTATGTATATTATGACACAATAAATACAGAAATACGGTGTTGAACAGTTTTGAATTCAATATAATATTATTTTTTCAAAATATTCATGAACGATATTTGTGTTTATTGATTAAAGAATTTGATTTTAGGAGCTGAAAAGTTTACATATGAAAAATGTATCCTTTGAAGTAATTTTTTCCCTGGGAAATTTGCGAAATACTCTTGTTAATCTCACTGTAAATAACACAGATGTCACCACCATTTCCCAGATTTTGCAGTGTGACGTTATCCATAAACACAATTTGGAAGGAAGTCAGGTAAATACTTTATTTCACTGTGACACTTTAATAACAAGTAGCAATATTGTGAAAAGCCTGTCTATCAATGATCCTGAATACATTTCTGAGATAAATCAGGTTGAAGATTTGGAAAGAAATCGTTTCAACGGTTTGAAATTTTTCATCTATAAGGTAACAATGAGAGAGATTATGGTATTACGTTTTTTATTTGAAATTGTTTTATTTTGTGTCAGTGCTAATTCAGATACAATTTATGATTGTCGACAAACAATTGTTTTCAAAAACTAAAAAGTTTGGCAAAGTTTAACAATTAATTTAAAAAAAAAACATACTTTAGGCAGAGACTAGGTAGAGCTCGCTAATTTTTAGAACTCTAGTTGTGTTGTTCTCAACTTGTATCAAGAATTTTTGAATACTTGTTGAGTAAATTATGGATTCCTTTATGAAAAACCATATTCGTGTTTGACTCATAAACATCACTGGTATGGAGTCCAGATAAGTAACCCAAAGACTTGAAACAAATCACTTTCATTTCACAATTTTTCAAAATTTGGAGATATGAAAGTTTTTTGTTAACCAACTAGGAGAGATTAAAATATCAACAATCAACGCACTATCTGAAAAATTTCCATTTCGGCATAAAACAAAAAAGTTTATTTTCGTAATTTCCATGAAATAAATAATTATTACCCCAGATATGGGTGCCATAACTGATATATTGGTATGTCTTGGCATAATCACATTACTGGAACAGCACAGGTAGCTTTTCAGAAATTTGGAGCAGAAATATGTACACTTCTCAGCAATTTACATATGTGGATCTCCGTCGTGAAGCTACCCCGAGAAGATTGATAACAACATTACGGAAATTGATATTACCATCAGCTTGGCACCTAAATTGATGAATCTCCAATTGAACGACAACAAAATATCTACAATTTCTAATTTGTCTCATTTACCAAATTTGTCACATTTGAGCCTTGCAAACAATTTAATAACAGTATGTAATGATTTGCACACAAAAGTTGGAAATGTTTTGAGTTTAAATATGTCCCAAAATAACATTGTGACCTGTAAAGGTTTCAGTAAATTGTATTCTCTTGAGATCCTTGATTTGAGTTGTAATAAAATTTCTGATATTGAAGAAATACAATATTTAGGAGAATTGCCCTGTTTGGAGAACCTAGTTTTAACAGGAAATAATGTAGCTACAACTGTAGACTATAATAATAATAATAATAAATGCTTTTATTGAAAGGTTACTCAGTACAAGAGATACTAATCTAACCTAACAAATGGCAGAATTCAACGTCTGCACATGACAAATCAAGGCAGAAATTGCTCTTCCATTCCATGATATTGTTTGAAATTTTATATGTGTCTCCTCTTGATGAACTTCGAGTAAATTATCTTTTCATGTATCAGAGTATTCTGATCATTTGAGTATAACATTAATAAAATTTGCTTGTTCTCATATTGTCCCTTATATTACTCATATAATATACTTTTGTTCACAAGAAAATGCTTTTCCTATGGTATGGAAAGAGGTCATCGAGTAATTCCCAAGAAAAAAAATCTTCTCGAATATATAGACCATAGAGATATGAGCATATTATCTACTTATATATATTGACTTATTTAAATCGATTCAGCATTATCAACAATTCAGTCAGGATTCAGAAAAGGGTACAGTAGGTACTGCATTATTGTAAATCTATATAACATTACCAATTCAGTCAGGATTCGGAAAGGGATACACTTGTACTACTTTGTCACTCCACACTGATAGACGAGATACAACGGTCCTAACACTCTTAGATTTTACCAGAAACTTTGATACCATCAATCATGAACTACTGATGTTCATACTTCATTACATAGGATTATCAATGCAATACATGAATTTACCGTGAGATTACTTGATTCGAAGAAAACAAATGATGGAGTCAATTCAGGATACTTTTATACTGAAAAGGATATTTCTCAAGGTTCCCTCCTAGGTCCACTGCCTTTCAGTATCTATATTTCTAATCTGATTGGGAGCTTGAACCATTGCAATGTTCATTTTTATGCTGATGCCACCCAAATATATTATAAAAAATTAATGAATTAACTGTCTTAAACAAATTTATTTCCAATAATACTTCACTAATCACAAACTAATTTATTTCCAACACTTAGCAACTAACGCTTAATTTATCTCCACTATTTGAATTCCTTGTTCAACCGCTCGATTCACTTTCTGAACTGAACTGCCTGCCCTCTTGGGTAGAGAAGCCAGGCTTAAATAGTGTAATGGTTCTTTCTCGAAATCTGTAGTCGGTTCGATACTCGACTAGAGTTTTACCGGCGGTTCCCGACTGCATTCCTTTTGCGGCGATGTCATGTGTTTGTTCGCTGGCGGGCATATCGGTCAGGGACGGCTTCAGATTCGTTACAATATTGTAGTTTTTCACCACAAATAAGTGAGGCCATGCGATCGATGAATAGTGAACTCTCTTATTTTATTTATTCTGCTACCAACCATATCGATCTTATTGAGTCAAATCATTTAACATTTGGACCTCAACAGAAGAAAAAATAATCCAAAGAATGGTCAAAATAAACATCATGGGTTCACGGTTTCACACAGTTGGAAAGGTAAGAAAGTATGTACTTATTTTGTAGGGAAATGGTTTGGGATTCAAAAACCATGTTATCATTCTGTTAAACTAACATGGGAGCAGACATTATTCAACTAGGGAAGTGAAAATAACTGTGCGAGGCTCTTGTACTGTCTCATTTCAACTATTCAGATTTATTTTATGGTACAAATCTGACTAATATGTACGCAAAAGTAAAATTCAGACTGTAGAATTTATTTCTACATCTGATATATGGCGTGAGAAGGAAACGAGCTAATTCACACACTTTAAAACAAGCTGGATTGCTAAATATGGAGAGTAGAAGATTATTGCTGTGCTGTTTCATAAAATAGTTACAATAAAGAAACCGCCTTATTTATATCGGAAAATAACCTACAGAACTGATATACACAATATCAATATCAGATATAAACATGATTCAACCTTTCCTCAGTCCAGAATTGAATTCTGCAGAGATCGTTTACATATCAAATTTGCAAAATATATGTTTTACCATGCCAACTCAACCAATCATCTCCTCTTTGATCTGGATGGTGGTATAGATCACCTCAATTCATGGCCGTGTTTATGTTAATATGTGTACGTATAAAATATAGTTTTTTGTCCACTCCTCTATCCTGAACAGATATTTGAAGAGATGTTTTGATGTTAAGTGAAAGAACAGTTCATTTTCTTTACTTCTAGATAAAAATAAACTCAACTTTGCCTTTTATATGAAATAACTAAAGAAAATAATGAAGATGTATTATTATTACAAAATATTTTTTGAATTCGATTATCATGGATTTTCATCAAGTATCAGCCATAGGTCCATCCAAAATCAAAACATCTTTCTGACAATTGTATGACTGTTTTATTTAATGGAGAGGTACAAGTACTCCAGGAAAATCTTGGCTAGTGATAACTGCGTGAAAGCTATTCTCCGGGTTTTTTGGCCGTGGTCTGCAGGTTTTTATGCCTGACGTTTCATCTACTACTGCGGTAGACCTCAAAGGCAATGAGGTAACAGTCAAACAGCTCGAGTAGTTGTTCCAATGGTTTCGAACGCATTAACTATGATGCTCTATTTGACTCTGGTTGTATATTCATTAGTGGGTGTGGCTTGGTTGCTGTTAATTGGATTACCTGACCTTGTTTGTGTATCTGTAAGGACAGATAAACAAATAATATTTTTCCATTCAAAATATTTGTTTGTATAATACTGGAGTAGAGTATTATATTAGATCAATAGAGTGGAACTCATTCAAGAGTATTTGTTGAATCTTTATGCTAAAGAAAAACAACTTATTTGTACGCATTACCCATCTGTCATACTTTATTATTAATCATGATTAGCAAAATCAAAGGCCTTAAAATAATGTAATACAAAATTTAATAAAACTAGTAAATGAAAGTATATTGTTGCAAAGGTTCATTCACAAATAAACGTTTTCGTTTTAATACAATGTTCTTGTATTAAAACGAAACAGCTTGCAAACAGCTTTTTTTTCTCCATTAATGTATTTGAATGGAAATATTTCTTGTAAATGAGATTTTATATCAATACTCTTTCTTATGATATATGTGTACTGTTTCACATCACATATATGTTTCAATTTCGACTACAAATTCACCTTAATTCTTTTAGAAGAGTGAAAACATTTTCAGTATGGTGCTAGATGATTAATATATCGAGAATCAAACAGCAATTCAGAGGAACAGATAGAAATGAAAGCACATCTGAAAGTGGTTCAAAATTCAAGAATTCCGATTCTAATAACAGGTATATTGTTTCAACTGCCTTAAGAAATAGATAATCAACATCAGTGTAAACTTTGTGAAGTTCGGGACACAGAAATGAATGAGTGGACAGTATATAAATTTGAAACTAATTGTGACATCAAAATGAATGAGAAACAGTGAATAGGGATTGAATCAAACTTGCACAGAGGATAGGTTTAAGGGTAATCCAAAAGTTTTATTTCATGACAGGTGATAGGAAACTTTGTTTTCCTTTGCGTATATATCGGACCTCAACAAAAAATGTGTTTGATGTGAATCAATCTAGGATGAATTTTCTCCCGTTTATTGAAAAAATTATAAAAATCGGGCCAAAAATAAAAAAGTGATTCAAGATCAAAATTTGGTGACATTACAAGTTGACCGTTTTTTATGCATCTGAGTGTATTATGATCCTTATACCATGTATATATTCAAACTAATTCATTATGATTGCATTACTACATAATATGTTCTCAAAATGGGCACCTTCTTCTCCCCCGTTCAACAATTGAAAATATTTCCTGGCACTTTAATATTGTAAAAGTTACCTGGATTTCTGCTTATTCCAGCTCCCATTCTATCGTATTCTTCAGTTAGTTTTTTTCGCCACTGGCGTTTGTATTATACATAGGAAAATAGTTCGCAAAACTAAATTATTTTTTCTGTGAATTTAACTTTTCAATGGTTGTGAGGTATGACATTCATATTCTCGAATAACGCGCCTTTTGCTCAAGGTTTTTCTTAGTTCTTCTTCTGAAGGTGCCAGAATGTGTGGATCTCCAACCAATGCCTATATCAATGGAATTTGGAATTTATTTCTAATTTTTTTGCAGAGATTTGAAGTGATAACATCCATTGTGAATTATCAAGTATTTAGTTCACTGAATTATTATCTTA